AGAGGCATCTCCCAACCCTCTTCCGGCTTCTTTTCCTCTGGCTCCGACCTGGAGGTTCTGGCTTTGTCGTGGTGGTGGTCAGCCTTGAGGACAGACGGCTGGGACTGCCTGCTGGCTTCCAGCTCCCTCGGGATGGAGATGCTGGGGCAGGGGGAGCCAACCTGGGAGGAGGTGATTGGCAGATGTCTGCGTGGTGGCATCGCTTTGAACAGGCGGCCCGGGCAGATCTGGCCCCACCGGCACTGTAGGACTGGCCTGTTGGCATGGGCCATTAGCAGAGAGCCGCAGAACTGCTCGGGGAACCCCAGGCAGGATGCAGTGGGCAGGGCCTGGCATCCTTCTTCCTGCGAGGTTGGCTGTGTCCTCCTGAACCCAGCCCTGCCCTTCTCACCTGCCAGGGCAGAGGCTGCCAGAGGACCTTTCCCAGCCGTCGGCCGGCTGCGGTTCCCCCTGTGCCCGTGCTGGCAGGGCAGGGTGTGGGCAGGCAGCTTCCCCTCGCCCTGGGAGGGATGACAGCGGTGAAGGGCTGGTGACTTCCTCTGGCTCCCGCCTCTCCCGTCAACCCTCTGAGCGCCGGCCAGGGAAGCTGCGCTGCTGAGAGAAGAGCCCAAACCCTTTCAGCACCTGCGCTGTGGCAGAGTAAGCTCCACTTGGTTCAGTTGTTTAGCAGTGTAAATGCGGACGTGGTCGTTTCTCCTACATGCGGTTACGATGGTGTCGTGTTTTTCCCATGTGGTTGTGCAGCGGCGCGACTGCAGCGAGCCTGGGGAAACCTTCGTGGATCGAAGCAGACCAGTCTGCGGGGAGAGGGATGGTGTGTCCAGCGGCTGGGTGGCCCAGGGGCATGGTCAGCTCAAGCTTTGCATGGGAATGCCGTATAATCCTGGGGAAAACCCACTAAATTCTGCCCCCCCGCTGCACATCAGTGTGACCCCGAGGACTGCGGGATGCTGCAGGAGCACCGAGGGCTGTTGTGTCGTGCAGGGCTGGGCTCAGGGCCGTGCTCCCCGTCACTGGCGATGCTTTGCAGGCTCTGATCGCACAGGGGAGCCCAAGCTGGGCCCAGCTGCATCACCCAGTTACCTGCTGGGGACCCTGGATCCAGGCCTTTCCCTGCTGCACAGGATGAGTCCTCCCAGGCCTCCTCCACGTCCGCTGCTACAAGCAAAGACCCCCTCCATCCCAGCGAGGAGCAGAGCGGCTGAGCCGCAAACGGCAGAGTCTGTTTGCTTCCAGACAAATCTCCGTTGGATTCAGGGAAATCTCCAAGGTCACTGTGTGCTTGTGCTGGTAGCGTTGTGTTGCTGCCTCTGCTGTCAGGGTCTTTTTTTTCCAGGTTGTCTGGGGCAGCAGCTCCTTTCCCTCCAGGAATTTTTAGGGAGGATGTTTCCAAAGGCTGCGCGGGGGTGGCCGATCTCTGCTGGCTCGGCTCCTATCGGGAGGAAAGGCTGCTGCAGGGATGGCCCCACAGCAGAACGCTGCTAATCCAGCTGCCTCTGCGGCCTGATGCCTTTCTCAAGGTATTTTTAGCTGCACGTAAACTTCAAGAAAAGCTTTTTTGCGGCCGAGCACACTGTGGCCTTTGTTCAGGCTTCTGGGAATGGGGAGGTAACATCTTGGCGAGACTGTTGCACAGCCCTTTCCCCTCGCAGTGCATTGACAAGGGGCATTGCAGCCTGCTGTGTGGGGCTGCTGGAGCCCCCCTGAGCGATGCTGAACCCTTGCTGACCCGCTCTCGCCCGTGCACGGTCTGTGCCTTGCTTTGGCAGAGCTCCTGGTTCAGGGGCGGCTCAGGAGGTTTCAGCAAGGGCTGCTTCTCCCAGGTGTCTGCAGGTTGCATTTGCCCTGTCAGAGGAAACCACCTCACCTCTGCCTGCTGCCAGCAGCTGTCAGATGCGGGTGGAATTAGCACATGAAATGTCCTGGATATTCCACTTGAAGTTCTCAGGGCTGGAGGGACAGGGACAGTGAGTGGTTTCCAATGGGCTTTGTGTCCCTGCTGGGATGCTGGTATACAGCGTATGCAGCCGGGCAGGCAGAACACCCTGCGTGCTGTGCACGAGACCACGCGCTCAGAGGATCTCTCCGAGGGACGTGTGTGGCTAGCGAGACACGTGTTGCCCTGTCCTGCCGTCGCAATGGCTGCGCGGGACGGGTGAGCACTGCGAGTGTCACTCACAGGGTGCCAGGGTGGCTTTTGCTGCTGTTTTCCATGTGAGAGGTACCTGGGTGTTGGGGCCAGGCCAGCCTGTGCCTTGCCCATGCTCACGGGATGGCTGGGACAATGGGAATCATAGATTTTCCCCATCGTGTCAAGACTAAGTCAGCATTTGGAAGTGGAAGCTCAGCCTTTAGGAGCAGAGTTGCCAGCCGGAGAGTTGGAAAGTAGTTGCCACCTCCCTTCCCACTGTAAGGGGGGACTCGGCTTGGGAGTTGCCAACTTTCCACCTGCCAAAGGCACCAGACATGACAAAAGACCAAAATGGCTTTGTGATGCCAGGCAAGTTGGACACGGAGCCTCCGCTGTGTCTCTGCTGACAGAGTTTCTGCCAGGAGGGGCGAACAGGAGCAACTCGTGTGGGGTTACTGCTAAATATCTGCCTCTCCTCCTGCCCACAGCAGGAGACAGGCAGGACCCAAGCTTGCCTATGGTCTCACCGTTTTATCACCTTGTTGCTCTGCCAGGTACTCTGGGATGTTGTGCCTGTGCTTTCACAGGACTCTCCTGTCTTGGTCGGGATCATCTGGTTTTCTTCATCTCTTTTATTAACCCTTATCTCTGGAATAGCTCTGCGACTGAACTCCAACACCCCTTCCGCACCAGTGGTCATCTCGAAATGCCCGCTCCATGCTGCTGAGGGTGCCTACAGCTGGGACTGGGGGTTCCCAGCCGGACACAGGGCTGAGGGCACTGCTGCCTCTCCACCAGCGACCTGCGCAGTGTCCGTGCTTGTAGCAAGGGCAAGAAACGCAGGCGTTCAGCCAGAGTTGGGGCCCTGCGAGCAGGCATCCTTGTACATGGATGATCTCCGTGCTGACATAAAGATGCGTCTCTCCCTTTGGGGGAAAGAGAGTGTGGGCTGGAAGGAGCAGGTCTGAAAACAAGAGCTATTGCTAAATGCCTGCAGCATCTCTCTGCTTAATGGAGTGGAGAATAGAGCTCGATGCATTTCCCTGGCTCCCTGCTCGCCGCAGGGATGAGCTCTGGGTTCTGGTGGCCACGAGCCAAGCACTGCTGCGATGCCCTTGGCCTGGGTGAGCGGCAATGGGGCATGACTTCAGCCTGGGGTAGCTGGTCTTGCAGCTTATCACTGACTGAAGAGCAGGAACAGCCTTCTCCAGCCCTCAAGGGCAGCTTGGCATAGGCAGGAGCTGCAGGAGCGATTTGCAGGTTGCTCCCTGCCCTGGGTGGGTCAGAGCAAGTCTGGGCACTCAGTCTGAACCGTTGGGGTGGTCAAGCCTGACCTGCGGGCAGTTCTTATCTGGTGACTGATTTGGAGGTTGGACTACCCGTATAGAAACTGCATCAGCGCCACCAAGTCACGCAGTGGCTCCCAGAGCTGAACCACATCCGCCGCGAGTGATGCTGGGGGAGAGCGTACTGCCTTGCGCTGTGCTGGGAGCAACCTTTGGGACCCTGGTTTTCTGCAGGGGGGTAGAAAACATGGACATGAAGTGCTCACAGGCTCACGTCCAGCCCAGCTTTCTGGCAGTGCATGTGAACTGGGCAGAAATGACTTCTTGTATCATGCTTCCTGTAATGTTGAACAGGGGCTTCAGCTCTGGGGTCTGTGAGCTCTCCCTAAGAGTCGGGGAAAGGCTGTGAAATTCCATGCTCCTAGCAGGAGATATGAAATCACTGCTTGCGTTTTCCTCTGGGGCTCTGCAGTCAGACAGCAGCAAGGTCTCCAGGTCTCAGTGGAAATTCAGTGGCCACTACCCTCAGGGACTCCCATCTCCCTCGCTTCTGCATTGCAGGAACAGGACTTGCTCCCTCTCCCTTTCAGGCAGAGCAAGTCCCATTACTGCAGGGCAGAACCTGCGCAGGGGAGTTGATGTATTCCAGTTTATCGATTCGCTTTCCAAAAGTAAGGATAACGGGTATAAGATCAACGTTGAATGGTGCCCAACAGAAGGTGGAAACCCTTGGAGCAGCAGACAAGCTCTGGGTTAGTGGATTCATTGGTATTAGCCAGGCTTTACCCCGTAACCTTGACGGACAAGGCTTCCCAAGAAGGGGCGTCCCTGCCCACCCCACACCTCTCCCAGCTCTGTGAGGCATCAGCCCTGGCAGCAAAGGCTTTGTGCCTCCACCTGGTGACCAGCCCGGGTTTTGCATTTTAGCCTACATCATCCGGTTTTATTTGGGGGACAGGGAGGTGTTCTGGGTGGGGTGATGGGAATGAGCAAATCTTGCTCCTCTCTGTAAGGACAAGGTGTATAAATAGACATCTCCCAGTTTGCTCCTGACTTGCCTTGGTAGTGATGAGCGGCGGGATGCACGCTGATGGGGCTGTCCGTGGGTCCCCATGGGGTGGCTGAGCGAGCCGAGGGGCAGAGGTGCAGCTTTTCCTAACGTGATGGATGCACAGAGGTCAAACACCACCTCCCCTGCCTCCTCCCTGGATCGTGGTGTCGGGGGGGTGGATTTTCTTCCCCACCTCCCCCTGTCACATAATCTGCTTAGTCCCCTGGGGACAGGACTCTTGCTGTCAGCCAGTATTGCTGACGGGCAAGCTGTCTCCTCATCCTGCAGCAACAAAGGAGCTCGCCACATCCTGAGTCTTGGTACCTCCAGCAAGGATCCCACAAAGCAGAATAAACACAGCCTGATTTATTGGGTGTCCAGGTGTCTCTTAGCACTGCCACCTTAAACCCAAAACTTCTCACGTTGTGTGTTGTTCCCCAGGTGACGGTCTCTCTCCAGAAGATCATGCTCCAAAAACGCTGTTCCAAGGTGATGGCCTGTCCCACTTACCTTCTAATCTTGTTTCCCGCAGGGGTTCTGACAGCTGGAGAGCACAACTTCCCCTTCCAGTTCCTGCTGCCAGGTATGATGCACAGGAATGGCTGAAGAGACTCCTGTGTGCCTTGGCTTTTGCAGCCCCTCGAGCTGGGCAGGGTGGCAGAGGCAGGCTGGCAGCTTGGCCCAAGGAGGGAGTGCAGGGTCAGCACGGCCAGCAGCGGAGCGTGGGCAGGTGGTGCCAGGCTGCGTGGTGCCAGGCTGCGTGGTGCCAGGCTGCGTGGTGCCTGCTGCGTGGTGCCTGCTGCGTGGTGCCAGGCTGGGTCCGAGCTGTCTCAGCAGGACCCTGCGTGCGCTCTGGGTGTGTGCAGGGTCCTGGCCTGTGGCCAGCCAGCCGTCCTGTACGCAGTGCCCTCGGACAGGATCTCTGCTCGTGACCTTGTGGTTGCAGAGGGTCCCTTCTGCAAGGGGGTCGCAGCGAGGTCTCTGAGTGACCTAACTGTTCAGTACCAGGCCTCTTTGGAGGGGGTGTCCCCATCTCTGAGGTACCTGCAGAACTCTTTAGGTGAAGAAGAAAGCTGTTTAAAGAGACTGTTTCCAGTTGAGAAACGTTTGGACTCACTCAACCTTACGAACCTTTTCTCTCTTTACTCCAGCCTCTGCTCCTACATCATTTGAAGGCCCTTTTGGCAAGGTCCTCCATCAGGTGAAAGCTGTGATAGACACACCCCGCTTCTCCAAGGATTACAAGTGCAACAAGATCTTCTACGTTCTCTGCCCTCTCAACTTGAATGACATCCCTGACATCGAGGTAAGAACAAGGAGGAACATGGCTGGGAAGTGCCAAGGCTTCAGCACTTGTCCCTGTCACGTGTGCTGTCTGGGGAATAACTGGGTGGTTGGACAACTCTTGACAGCATGCCAGCAGGACAAGGGCTCCTGATCTGTCCTACCTTGCTGTCAGTCCCTGCTCCCACTGATTTTTGACTCCTCCACACATTGCTTTGGAAGATTTAGGGGAATTTTTCAGCACGCAGAGAGAGGTGTTTGCCAATAGCACCAGGAGGTTGTAGAGACCTGGGTTTGGGGAGCTTGCTCTGAAGCGAAGAGGCTAATAGGAGAGCAAAACTGGAGGGATGGAGAGGTGAGGCCTGCTGCCTGTGGTAGTGCTGTTTTGTGGGTTCTTTGCATCCTTTTAAACCAGCTTGGTTTTGCTTGCTTGTTTCAAATCTGAGTGTTTTGGGGGAGGCTCTCTAACTCTCTTGAGCCAACATCTGTCTCTCTGCTCTCTTGCAGCAGCCCAACACTATGTCAATCACCAAGAAGTTCAACTACAAGCTTGTGAAAAGTGGCAACATTATCTTGACGGCCACTTCGGACTTGAAGGGGTACATCGTGGGGCAGGCGATCCAGCTGCGCACGGACATAGAGAACAAATCGGGCCGGGACACCGGCGCTGTGGTAGCCAGTCTGCTCCAGGTAAGCATCCAAAAGGCTGATTCTTTGGCCTATGCTGATATTCCATCCACCTGAGGCCTCTGTGAAACTGGGGCAGTTCTCAGAACGGCGTGCATCTCTGCTATGTATGGCTGGGAGGTGGCAGCGAGGAGTCCAGTGCTCTGGCTAACTCTCTCCCTACCTTCCTGGGGAAGGAGGTGGCAGAACACGCCTTGCTTACACCAGTTCAGTCTGTTGTATACCAATGGGTGTTTCTCCTCTGTAACAGGCACGTTAGGTTTGTACTTGTGCTTAACTGACAAAGCAGCTGGGTGGTTTCCCTTCTGAGGGAGACAGAAGACCATCTGCAGTCATGCTGCTAGCCCTTTTCTCTCCTGTCTGTATAGAAAGTGGCTTATAAATCCAAGCGCTGGATTTACGACCTGAGGACCATCGCGGAGGTGGAAGGCTCAGGAGTGAAAGCCTGGAAACATGCAGAGTGGAAGGAGCAGATCCTCGTTCCGGCACTGCCCCAGTCCATTCTGCAGGGCTGTAGCCTCATACATATCGACTACTACATCCAGGTGAGTACCTTGGTGCTCCTGGGGACTCCAGGGCACTCTGCTGCCCCTTCTGTGCTCTGCGTTGATGGCTGAACTCCGTGGCTGTGTGGGGTGGGTGGCCCTTGCATCAGGTGAACCTGCCCAGCGCAGTGTGTAATGAAGAGGATGCCACTGTTTTTCCTTCTCTTCCAGGTTTCCCTGAAGTCGCCAGAGGTTTCGGTCACTCTCCCCATTTACATCGGTAACATCGCTGTGAACAGGGTGCCTCTGAGCCCCTCCCGGTCCATCCAGCACATCCCGACTGCGGTGGTGCCCAGTGCTCCCCCGGAGGAAGAGGAGGCTGCCAGCGGTTATCACCCGATGGACAACGTCTCGATCCCCACCAAAAGCCATTCCCAGCAGCAGCCGTTCAGCTACGCCCCAGGACTGAGCTTCCAGGAGATAAGGGTGGACTCGGAGCAGACAGGCTCCCCAAGCCATCCCACGCTCTGCCTGTCGACAGGAGCCACTGTCCCTTACTACGCTGAGGGGAACGTGGTGCCCGTCCCCACAGCCAGCTCCCTCATTCTGCCTCCGGAGTACAGCACGTGGGGCTACCCATACGGTGAGCAGCCCGCTCCGGAGACCCTGACGGGCTGGGAGTGTGGCAGCAAACGTCTCCTACGACAAGAGCCTCTTTGGTAGCTGTGTACTGGGTGGGAATGTAGGGATGTCAGCCTGCAGGGGCTGATGTCAGAGGGGATCACGAGATTGCCAGAGGCTAAAGCCGGCGGAGGGGAGACCCCCTGTAAGAGCTGGACGGCTGTTCCCATGTCTACACCTCTGCCTGCTCTGCGCTTGTCGGGAGAGGATCTCCCTGTTCTTACATGAGCTTTCAGCCTCCCACTGACAGAAAAACTTGGCTTGTGGTGAGGCTGGTGGGAGCAGAGCCAGGAAAATGATGTAACTGGAATCTTCTGCTGTGGAGTGGGCCTGCAGCTGGTCTGGAGACACAAGCTGTGGGGGCGGGAGCTGAGAGACTGTCCAGGCTCCCAAAGGCTTGGGGAAATCCCAGCCCGCTGGATTCTGCGCGTATCCCAGGGTGGCAGGGAGCAGTGGTGTCTGTTAGCACAGTCGTATCCAAATAAACCTGTCTGGTAGCACCGGGGTCACGAGGTGCTCCGTGCGTCACTTCAGCCCTGGCCGGGGGCACACGCAGCAGGGGTCACCTGTGACCCGGCGGTGGCGGAAGATGCTTTGTGAAAGAAGCATCGCAGACCCCCTGTACCTCAGCAGGGCAGGTTGTAGGGTCCTGGAGAGAGAGAGGCTGCATGCATGGCACGTGTACGCGTTGGCGGTTTGTTTTACTCCGCACCGAGTTACGCAGACCGCCGTGAAGGGAACCTCCCAACCGCCCCCCGTAACCGCTCTCACTCTTTCTTTCCCCTGCAGAGGCACCTCCATCCTACGAGCAGAGCTGCAGCAGTGCCAATTCCAGCATCAGCAACGGCAACTAGCCCCCCCTGCTTCGAGTCCCGCTGGCGCTGCCCACCCCCGGGCGCCACGGTTCGCCTGCCTCCTGCGAAGTCTGGTACAGCACAAGGCGTCTCTTTATCTCTCTGGCTGCGTGGTGGGGTAAACGGCACATCCCGGGCTGGGCTTTTTAAGTCTGTTTTTGGGGAAGGGGGAAAAAGAACCAAAGGGCAGCCAGAGCAGCCTGTGTGTGAGCGTAGGAGAGGTCTGGGAAACGGAACCGTCTCCTGCTGCTGCACCAGGTGCTGGAGAACTGGTTTTGCCCCGGGGGTGCCCTGTGCAGCAGCCTGTGTTTAAAGTACTGTAGTCAACACTAACTGCTTTACTATCAAAGCACCTGCGATGCCTTATCTGAAATGCTCCTGACTTGGCGTGTCTCCACTGTAGGTGAAGGCTGGGCTGTGTGGACTTTCTCTTCCCTTTTAGGGGCCATGTGCTCACCAGAAATGGTTTTGTCAGTCTCCTTGTCCTCGTAGGTCCTAAGGGTAGCTGAAACAGGAGGTTTCTTGGAGTAAGCAGGTTCAGAGAAGGTCAGGGACTCTTAAAAATCCAAAAGCACAAGCCCTTGGTATACGTGTGCTGTGGGGTGAGTGACCAGCAGCCTCTGGTCCTCTTGCAGTGGCGACACCACAGCCTGCATGCAGGAAGAGGAGAGCAGGCTCTGGCAGCAAGGAGTTTGCTGGGGCGCTTGCTTTAGCCCAGGAGGCCCTGGCGAGACGTGGAGGGAGAGCCTGGTGTTCCCGCGGCGTGCCCACCAGCCAGCTCCTGGCCTTTTCCGGCATGGGAGGCTGTTCCCTGAAAAGCTCTGTGGGAGACAGTCCATCCTTGCTCGCTGCTGGACCGCAGCACCCAGGATGAACAGTGCTAGTCAGTCTGTGAGTGGGGGGACCAGATCCCCGTGTCCCACCTCCCACCCCTGCAGGGTGCCCTCTCCATCCCAGCTGCGGCTGCCTTTGGCAGGCCAGAACTACACGACAATCAAGTTACAAAATCTGTCCGATGCTACCTCTGCGTCTGCCCAAGGACCCTGTCCGTGGGAGCCCTTCCCTGGGGACCCGCGAGGCTCGGCTTGGTGTCTCTGGCGGGAGCCAAGAGTGCGAGGGTGCCCGGCGAGGGACCGTTCTCTCTGCGGGCTGGGACTGGTTTACTGCTTGTCTCCCGAGCTGCCTCTGGAGCCACAGCAGGATGCGAAAACGAGTGAGTGAGTGGGAACACCAAGTGCTGCGCCGCGCTTGCCGCCTGCGCTGGACCTGGCAGGTCAGGGGGAGAAGCTGGTGGATGTAATCCAACACTTTTTTCTTCTGCGCTTCCCCCTCCAACCTCCTTGTTTAGCTTTTTTTTTTTAGTATTGACTGCCCAAGCTGAGGAAACCACAAACCTGATATCCGCGGGCGCCCAGCCCCGGCCGAAGCGGTGGGCTGCAGACCCTTGGCACCTCTGAGGATCGGTCTCGCGCTGGGCGGGCAATACCTAACAGACCTTTAGGAGCACTGCAGCCTCCGCGTGCCCTGGCAGGCAGCTGGGGACAAGCCCTGCTTTGCACTCTTTCTTTGCAAATGCTTTTTATTTTCTTTTATTTTTTTTAAGTGTTGAACTGCTTTAAGGGTAGAGTAGAGAAGGTGCCGTTCTGAGCAGTGCTGGCACAACATGCACCGGTGTTGATAGAACGATTGTCTTTGTCCCTGAATATATATATATGAGATGAAGTTTTGTTTTTAATGATTGAATTCTTAAATACAAATTTTAATGCTGTATTTAATAAATTATTCTAAGAGAAATGCTGTGCTTTTTCATCCATTTCTGCTGCTTATCCATGTGCCTGTTCATGCCAAATCCAGGAATGCACCTTGCTGATTTCTTACAAAACGGAGCACGTGTTCTGCTCTCGCCAGGAAGGATGGTGACTTCTGCCAAGGCAGCTCGGGGAAAACAAGCGTGGTGCAGCCTGACTGCGGCACTGGGCCTGTAGTTCCAGATGGTTGGAGGGAGCCTGGCACCGTGTGGGCTCGGCTCTGGGGAAAGCAGCCACCGTGCTGCCGCTTCCCCGGCCCTGTGTCCCGAAGCCGTGGTTTGTCCGGGTGGCCCGCGGGTCTCAGGCAGTGCTCTCGCTGTCTGACTGGACAGGTAGGGAGGAAGGGAGAGAGGACTTTCCCTTTAGGAGGATGGAGTTGGAAGGGCTGGAGACCACCAGCCCATGCCCTCTCCGAGAGAGCCCTTTGGAAAAACCTCATTAAAAATGGACAAGGGCTCCTCCCCACAGCGACAGGTTGGTGAGACCGTGTCTGAAGTCTGTAGGTGCTGCCTAAATGTTGTTGCTGCACATAGCCTGAAGTGTGATCTGTCTTGGACATGAGGATCCTTCCTCACTCTGCCCAAGTTCTGCTTCTGCCCAGCTGTTACTGGTGGCCTGTGCCTGCTGTGCAAAGCGTTCTTCACATGCAGGGGCACGAGGGCAGGTTGCTTGTCGTTTGTAACCGTACGTCTCTTCCCCCAGTTAGTTGAACCTGGCTCAGGCTGTAGTGCCTGTGGCCTTCCTTGCTGTCGGCAATACGTATCCCTCCTTTCAGACCTCAACCCAAACCCCTTCCACACCTCTGGAAAAGCTCCTGTGAGCTGTCAGCGCTCCTGGACGTGCTACAGGCTCCTGACCCCGCCGGACTTGGGAGAGGCAGCTTATGCCAGGTTCCCGGTTCCTTGTTCTCCATCCCTGAAGCTGCTGGTGATGTGTCCAGCCCATGTTCCTTGGCTTGAAAACTTGGATGCTGTTTGGTTACTGCGGCCAGAGCCACTGGGATGCCCTTCTAGACCCCCAGCCAGTGTCTGTCCTCGTTGTTTGTTTAACCGTTACGGGTGGGAACGCACCATTCAAGGAGACTGGGGAGAGGGCAGCTGTATCTCACAGCCCCCTGCAGCGCTCCTGTGCATCCCGCGCGCTCTCCCAAACGGTCCTTTGCTACAAACCGGTCCCTCAGCACCATGTGCTGTGTGGGGAGTCCCTTTGCAAAGCGAGGAGGGAGTGGGCACGCGCTGCTTCACTGCTGAGGAGTGTCCGTCTCTGCTGGCTGCTGTGGAGGGAGCAGGAAGGAGTTGGAGCCAGACCTCCTGGTGGTCCCCCTTCTTTTGGGTGCTGGGGCTGGGCATGGCAGCCCCTCAGAGAGCCCTCAGACCTGCGTGGCGGCCCTGGCCAGGATGCAGCAGGTCGTCACCCCCAGTCTGTCCCTGAGCAACCTCGCCGTTGTGCAAGCGGACAGAAATAACTGGCAAAGCGCTGTGGTTTTCAACGTTCCTGCCCTGCCTGGCCCCAGCACGGCGGCGGGAGACAAGGCCCGGCACAGCCTTGTTTGTGTTTCACAGACCCTTCGAAACGGTCCAGGGCTGCGGGATGGAGGAGTTATTCCAGCTCCTCTTAAACCACCCGCAGTTGTGGCCTCAGGGTGCTGTGGCAGGTCCTCGGGGTACGTTGGATGAGCACGATGGGGCTAAACCCCGTGTTTGGGTGTGAGTATGGTCCCCCCTGGGGAGGGCGCGCAGACAATCCCTCTGTCTCGCTGCTGTTGCTCTGCAGCCTCTCTGGCTTCAGTGTGAGCTCCTGTGGGCCCTGGGTCACCCCTCTCTCCTCTTTCTGAACTCCAGAGGAAAAAAGTGCAGCTGGGGGCAGGAAGTTTTGGGCCCCCAGCTCCGGGTGGAAAACTTCAGCACCCAGGAATTCATCAAATTCCTGCCTCCCATTTATAAGCAATTCTGGTTTAGTTTTGTTTGAAATGGGGAGGGGAAGCGGTGGGGCCCGAGTGAAGCTCGTGAGCTAATTGTTTCCAAACTCAGCATTCAATGGAAAATACCAAAAATATCATCTGCCCCTTTTTTGTTTTTTTTTTCCCTGCTGCTTCCTTTTTGCCCTTCATGGTTTTGTTCTCATCCCGCTCTCCACATGTGCCGCCTCCATAACTTCTGGCTTGTTCCATGTTGTTTGTGTCCTACTAAACGCTGCTTTGGCTCCGGTCATCCCACTGCCTGCGGGAGGTGGGGAGGCGAAGGCTGCTCTTCTTCTTGGACAGTGATGCCTTTTAGCTTTCCAGCGAACTTCCGGCAGTTTGCTAGAAGTGAGTCTTTTGTGCTTGGAAGTTTTCCTGCCGAGCCAGCACAAGAAAAGGAGATAAAGGGTGTTCTGGGGTCCATTGGGTTTTTATTCTGTATTTTTAAATTTTTCCAGCTGTGTACAACAGGAGCATCTGTCCCATCCCTCCTCCCCAAGAGAGAGCAGTGGGGTACAACCCTCCAAACTCGTGCCCTTTCTTGTACCACTACTGGCTGTAATTCTTTATTCCTGTGGTTCTCTTTACAGATTTGGGGGTTTTATACAACATTGGTGATGGGTCTGTACAACCTAAGACTTCTGCTCAATTTATTACTGGGTTTTAAAGTGTAAATTAGGGGTTTTAAGTGTTTACCACCGCTTCCAGGGAGTGTTTTTGTCCTGGGTTTTGAACCACCAAATGTAAAGGACTGAAAAAATGTGAATAAAGATCTTTTTTAAAGACTGGGGGTGCTTCTGCTCGGGGTAAATGTGGGATGGCCGCGCACCGGGACCCGCCGGGAGGGCCTGGCGAGGTGGCCGCTGGCTGCCGGGTGGCTCATGGCCGCGCTCAGGCAGAGCCGAACCTCGCCTGCTCCCATGGCGGAGCAGAACCGGCGGCAA